TTTTGTGACCAATCAGAAGTCCTGGGAGTTATGGTTTATCTACTGGTTGCTCTGTGTGCCGGGGGTGACTTGGTACCAAGGGCCAGAGTGTGATGGGAGCGCTTTGCTGAACTTGCTGGAATAAAAGAGATTTTCTTTACTCACCAAACTAAGAGGTCCAGACTTTTATTCTAAGTGCTTGATTTATAATTTTTCTACCACAATTCCATTTCAGTAGCACTGGGTCTCTAACTGGTAACTAGCCAGCATGCATCTATTTCAAAAGAAAAGTACAGTGTTAACTCAGAACTCAAACTTAATCCATTCAGAACTCCGGATAGAGTCCTAAAAAGTTCGAGTTCTGATTGAATTTTCCCCATAAGAAATAATGGAAAACCAATAATTTGGTTCCCGGCCCGAAAAAATTACACCTAAATATGTTTTTTTAGCATTTAAATACAAAATGAACCAGATAAAACAAGAGCATATATTGTACTAAACACATCAAAACAGTAATTTTTAAAGTAAGAATATAAATATATCCAAACAATGTGTCCTGCCCCGATCATCTGCTCCTTCCATGCGCCACGCCCCCTCGTTAACCCTGTGTGGAATCCCCGTGTGATCAGCTGTTTCTGCTTGTTGTCATTAGTCCTCTGTATTTCGTCCGCGTTTCAGTTTGTTTCTGGTCATTGTATTGTCCGTCTGCGTTTTGCCTGCCTTACCTGTAATTAAACCCCGTATTCCTCGATACCCTGATGTCTGTGCCTTTCACTCCATTCCGTCCTCGCTCGGCACAACAATATTATTATAATTCAATGTATTAATGGTTTATTATTAATATTAAAATAATTCATAAGAAATCTTTATTTTTAAATGTATTTTATTATATAATAATAATTACTGTTACAGTACTGTCTATCAATGAGATCAAGAACTGAGGTACCACTGTATTGAAATATGAAAACTAGTGCAAATACCTGTAGCATTATGGAAGCAGGTAATTCTTCAGATTGTTTTCACTCACCCCTTTATGCCCTGTAATCAAATAGTGCCCTAGGTGTCTATACAACAGGCCAGCCCTGGTCAAATGTGTCCAACTTGCTATTTTTCTATTTTACCCCTTGGAGTCTGCTGGAATTTTCCCAGTTTCCTTTGCCAGTCCATCTTACTATTCTGTACCAGAGAAGAAGTATGTTGTTGACACTTGCACATTTAGGTGACAGTTCAAAAAAACAAACAAAAAGAGTTTTCTATAAAAAGAGAGTTAAGACAGAGTTATACCCAAAATTATGAAGAATGATTAGCAGAATTTGTTCTATGACTTCGGCCTGGCACTGGTACCCTGGGCAATATGACAGAGACGGGACAGAAACTCCGCCACCTCACTGGCAATGAATGTTGGGTTGGGGTGGGTGGCAAAGGTGTTGGCAGCCACTGTCATCTCCCAGGCATCCACAAACCCCACCTCCAGGTCCCCGAACACCTTCCTCTGAGCCAGGTTCTGCAGGTGTCCGTGCCAGTCGCTGAAGCGTTCTGGTTCTGAGGAGAGCTCCCTGGTGTTCTCCATCTTGATGAAGATGCGGGTCCCGGGACTGCGGGCCTGCAGCCTCTGGATGGCCCCCCGCAGGCTCAGCAACCTGCGGATAAAGAGCTCCAGGGGGTAGGCCCGGAAGTGCTGGCCCACTCCGATCACCACCACTGTGTCCTCTCCCTCTGCTCCGATAGTATCCAAATCCCGGGAAATATAGGAAGATTCACTGAGTTTGCTTTTATGGGCAGTTATCCAAGGATAGTTGTGTACTTTCCACTGGATGCTGTACTCTCCCTTAGGGTTCACAAACTTAATGGAGGAAATGCCTTTAACAGAGTTTAAAATTGACTGAAACTCTATAAATTAAAGGAGAAAAAACACATTTGCAACAGCATCATGACAAAAAAACTGAACATGAGTCTCTGATAGATATTTACAAGGTACAATGTAATTGTCAGAGATACTCAGAGATAGCAGCAGCATTTTTAAGTTTTTTTTCAGGGCACACTCACATACCATTCACTCATGCATGCACACCTACAGACAATTAGGTAACACGAATTGACTTCAGCATATTTTTGGACTATGGGGGAAAACCAGAATACCCAGAAGAAACCCCATGATGATACAGGTAGAACATCCACAATTTCTTACCTTTTTGTATTGTAATCAAATACTCAATCCACTGGCGAACTGTAGAGTCTCCCATAAGATAGAGTGTCTTTCCTTTCAGGCAGCTGTTGATGGACTTCAAAGTGAAGAAGCTGCCAGTTTGATAGTACAAGGAAGACCACTGGTTTCTCCAGAAATACCCATTTGGGATGCTGGGATTGATTCTCTGGATGCAATCCCTACCTCTGCTGTTGGGAATAACTAGAGACAGGGTGAGAGAGAATGCAGATAACACTTGATACAGTTTCAGGTTGTCAAACTATGGCTTTGTCAGTTTGTGTAAACCAATTAGCAACAGCAATTTCTTAATCCTTGAGGATAAATTATTTTTCAGGCAAGTATAACTATTTATACTATAAAATTACCATTTGAGGAAAACAATTTTCATTAAGCAAAAATGTTATTGAAAATCCTTTACAATTTCCTTTATACATTCACTACATCAACTGCAAAAACTAACTATATACACAATATTGCCAAAAGTATTGGGACACCTCCCTTTACACACACATGGACTTTAATGACATCCCATTCTTAATACATAGGCTTTAATATGGAGTTGGCCCACCCTTTGCAGCTAAAACAGCTTCAACTCTGGGAAGGCTGTCCACTAGGTTTAGGAGTGTGTTTACGGGAATTTTTGACCATTCTTCCGGGAGAGCATTTGTGAGGTCAGGCACTGATGTTGGATGAGAAGGTCTGGCTCACAGTCTTCACTTCAATTCATCCCAAAGATGTTGAGGTCAGGGTTCTGTACAGGCCATACCAGGTCTGCTCATCCATGTCCTTATGCACCTTGCTTTGTGTACTGGTACGCAGTCATGTTGGACCAGGAAGGGGCCATCCCCAAACTTCCCACAAAGTTGGGAGCATGGAATTCTGCAAAATGGCTTTGAATGCTACAGCATTAAGAGTTCCTTTCACTGGAACTAAGGTGCCAAGCCCAACCCTGAAAAACAACCCCACACAATAATCCCCTCTCCACTAAACTTTACACTTGGCACAATGCAGTCAGGCAAATACCGTCCTTCTGGCAATCACCAAACCCAGACACGTCCATCAAATTACCAGACAGAGAAGCATGATTTGTCAATTCAGAGAACATGTCTCCACTGCTCTAGAGTCCAGTGGCAGTGTGCTTTACATCACTGCATCTGACGCTTTGCATTGTTCTTGGTGATGTAAGGCTTGGAGGCAGCTGCTCGGCCATGGAACCCATTCCATGAAGTTCTCTATGTACTGTTCTTTTGCTAATCTGAAGGCCACACAAAGTTTGGAGGTCTGTAGCTACTGACTCTGCAGACAGTTGGTGACTTCTGCACACTGTGTGCCTCAGCATGCATTGTCCCCGCTCTGTGATTACCCGTGGCCTGCAACTTTGTGGCTGAGTTGCTGTTGTTCCCAAATGCTTCCACTTTGTTATAATGCCACTAACAGTTGACTGTTAGTTCACAAATGAACTTATTGCACAGGTGCCATCCTATCACGGTACCACACTTGAATTCACTGAGCTCCTGAGAGTGACCCATTCTTTCGCAAGTGTTTGTAGAAGCAGTCTGCATGCCTAGGTGCTTGATTTTATATACCTGTGGCTATGGAAGTGATTGGAACACCTGAATTCAATGATTTGGAGGGGTGTCCCAATTCTTTTGGCAATATAGTGTGTGTGTGTGTGTGTGTGTGTGTACAGCAGTACACAAGAGTAAGGTGAAGCAGGAGACACTGGGAACAACCAGAAACCAGTCAGGTAAAGTGAGGAAGCGATGACCAACAACTTATCTGACAGTTTTTCATGAATCATAGGATGACATCAAATGACCTTCAAAAGGAATGGGAAACATTAAGTGCAGGTGTGAAGTGCACTGCTAAGACAGTTCATATCAGGCTCCTAGAAGCAGGACTGAAGTCCCATAAAGCAAGGAAGAAGCCCTTCATTAATGAGAAACAAGGAAGAACCAGGCTGCAGCTTGCAAAAGTAAATATATTATTCACATACACACACCAAAATATATATTAGAATTTAGTGATCAGTGGTCATTGTTTTTTTTGTTTTCCCCCTGTCGTGTCCGGCAGTTTCGCAGCAGGATGTTAGTCTGGGTGCTTTATTGTGCCAACACTTTTATTTTGCCAAGTGGAGCTTCGAATTAAGCTCCTCTTGTTACTTGAGGTATACTCTTTATTCGCCGTTTTAGATTATTGCGCCACAAAGACGGAGCTGACAGGGAAAGTTTACTGAGGTAGAGGAGATAGAGAGAGGAAGAGAAAGAGGAGAGAGACAGAAGAAAAAAAGAAAGCAATGGTACCATTATGACAGGGAATACGCATGTGCCAGTATCTGCTTCTGGAGTTAAATACATTAATACCAAAGAAAAAGATACATAAGCAGACCAACAGGAACACAGTCTGGTTATCGCCGCACCAGTATCTGCATCTGAGAAGAAAGGATGGAAGCCACACACACACACACACACACACACACACCCAGACAAGGAGAGAGAGGGATAAAGTAGGGCAAGAAAGCCCTAGGCTCTCTTGTGTGTGCGTGCGCCCGCACGTGCATGCGTATGTGTGTGCGTGTTCTATTTGTATGTGTGTGGATGTGAAAGTGTGTGCGTGTGCATGAGCCAGGAACCCCACAGCCACAGGCGGCAGCACACCAGCCCCCCCCCCTGGGGGGCGGGCCACGCAGGCACGGATAGAGCCCGGAGCTCGGGCCCCACCAGCCCCGGGGAGACCTGCCCGCCCCAGAACCCCCACCCGGGGGGTGGACGTCCTGAGAGCCACCAGGCACACCCACCCCTGTCAGTGGTCATTGTTAACGCACCACAGCACACAGTACACAACAACGAAATGTGTCCCCTGCATTTAACCCATATGTGACTTTTGTGACATAGCAGGGGGCAGCTAATTCAGTGCCCGGGGAGCACTGCTTGGGGGCGGTACCTTGCTCAGGGCACCTCAGTGGTGCTTTGCCAGTCAGGGATTCGAACCAGCAATCTTTCAATTACAAGTGCGTTTCCCTAACCATCAAGCCACCACTGCCCACAAAGTTACCATGGGGAAATGAATCTATTGAATATTGAAATCTATTGAAATATATATATATGTGATATGTCGGAAACAGCATGAGCAGAAATAAAGATAACAAAAACTGGCATTTACCGCAGCAATTTTTGACATCCACGTTACCAAATTTGTTCTTTATCTTCACCCCGATGTGATTCCTAAAAGAAAAAATGTATAGCAGCCATGAATTGAAGGCAAAAATACATTCAGCCTTGGAGCAAATTGCTCTGGAAGCAACAAGCACAGTCATTCTCTTGACATCTACGCAGAGTCTGTTTTACCCGGTCAGTAGAGAAGCTTCCTCCTTAGTGAGTGCAGATCCTGGAGTGTTGAATGAAGACATGGTGTCAATCGAGTGACAGGGCAGGGTTGGGGGTGTGTAACAGGCGTAGGATTCTCCGTCCCTCTCGTCTTTGTACTCGCACAGGGATTTACTCGCGTTCAGCTGGAAGCCGCACTCAGACGTCTCAGTTTTGCTCCCTTTGACAAAGTTTCCTTTGTGTGTGATCTTGTTGTAGTTGAGCTGCCTGGACCTCCACAGGGCCTGCACCGCCTCAGAGGAGTGCATGAGGAGCACAGAGACTTGCACCTCCCCAGGCCAGAGCAGGGTGAAGCGGACACGGTAGGAGCCGTTGCGGAGGTCAGTGACGGCTCCTGCGGCGGAGGCCTGTAGTTTGGGGGAGTGAATCCGGGCCAATATGAAGTCTCCTCCATGAGTCTTGGGCCTCCCACTGTGGTCCCGCATGTCCACACGCACATCTAAGGTGTCTCCCATACAGTACTGGGCTTGGAGATGCTCTAGACTGACCGTACTCCAAGCAGGACTGGAGGTGTTCTGGACAGACTCCCAGACAGATGTTGGAGGGAGATCCCACTGGAGGGAGAGCATCACATCCTCTACAGTCATCTCCGGATGTGGAACACTTGCGATGCTTGATTGTAGGTGGGAGATGAAGTTGCTTGTTAAGTTTCTCTACAGTTGCAAAAATAATAGAAAATCGGTTGTTTATCCTTTTCATGTTCCAGCCCATCACAGCCAATGCACTGCCAGTACAGAATAAGTGTTTGGATGGTGGATGAATATTGTATTTGTACAGTCGACCCCTCTGCATGGCAACTTTCCCCATCATGATTTCGATATACATTGGAGTATCGGCATGAGAAATTAAATAGGATTTTTTAAAAGCATTTTGCAAAAGCCACACAACACGTGAAGGCCAGGAAATGACATGCAAGAAGTTAAGTACAGTAAAACCTCGGGTTGCGAGCACAATTTTTTCTGGAAATGTGCTCGTAATCCAAAGCACTTGTATATCAAAGCGAATTTTCCCATCAGAAACAATGGAAACTCAGATGATTTGTTCCACAACATAAAAATATTCATATAAAAATTATTAACATCAAATATAAAGTAAAAATACATAAAACAAATTAACCTGCACTCTACCTTTGAAATGAATCGTGGATGGGGTGAGAGAGATGAGAGAGAGGAGAAGAGGAGGATTATTTTGTAGGACGACTTTCAGTATAACTAATGGAATCTGTTAGCTCACTGAAATCTTTTTCTTTTTGTGCGACTTTAACAAGGAACCTATCTGATGACAGCCGCTTTTGCCTCCTTTTCGATTCCGTGGAAATGTGGACATTGCATTGTCATTAAATAGATACATCACTCACACCTTATTCGGGTGTTGCTTTTCTACTAAATTTTGACTATACGAGTGAGGCACGCCGACTGAGACCGAGCATGGGAATCAATTACCCACAATCCCACAGCGAGAGAGAGAGAAGAACCATCGGCTCAGTTATGATCATGTGACGCTCGGCAGACAAAGCGTATACGTAATACTCGTATTGCAAGACCTCGCTCGTTTATCAAGTCAAAATTTATTAAAAATAAATGCAAAACACTCGCAAACCAAGTTACTCGCAATCCGAGGTTTGACTGTAACTCATAAAAATGTAAAATACATGTTCAGTGCTGGACTGGAGGACACCAAGTATGTTTACGACAGCCTCTCACATGATATCTTGCAGTGATCTCATGGTGGTCTTTGTATCTCACATTTCTTGCATGTTTTCACTTCGATTTGTTCACCAAGGGGAGCAATTTCTTTTTTCCCAGATCGTGGGGGACTGTAACCCACACGAGGTGGGAGGGTCTATGAAACGTCAAATAAATACAATTTTTGCACAGTTTGCCAGGGATAATAATCAATGCTACTACTCTTCCTTCCAATGCTGTGGCAGAAAAATGTGTTTTATGGAACTAAAGATGTTGAGTTGGAAAACTAGGCGTCAGATGAGGTTGTTTGAGGTTTTGTTTTCTGCATTTTCACTGTAACAGCCTCAGACAGTTAAATGGTGTTGAAAACATGACCATCACAATAAGCCAGTTGTGCTGTACCCATACTATTTGGACTTGATCATAACACCACCTTGCTAAATTCTGTCTAGATTTAAATTCAAAGTTTAGTATTCATCTTAGTCTGAAAACATGTGGCCAGTCAGTAAGTGAATGTGTTATTTATTGGGCAAAAACTTAATTCAATGATTTCAATGAGCAAAAATTTCAAAATCATGCCGGAAGGAAGCATCAGTGAACCAGAGAGGGAACCTGAGAACTGAGCATTGTGCCTTTGGGGAAACTGCATTGCCACTTCTATTAGCTTGGCAGCAATCAGGACACAGAACTATAGCACCCTTTTGTGACATGTGCACCCCCCCGAAGGGTCCAAGCCACTAGTCCCAAGTAGCTGAGTCACCCAGCCATCCTGAGTCACTTCCTCTGTGGCGATACTGGGAATTGCTACATACTCATGGCCATGCACGACTTCACCAACTGGCCCAAGGGTAACATGGTTCCCCACCACAGCAGAGCAACCACAGCCGAAAAGCTCAATAGGCAGTTCTTCTGCCACTTTCTACAGAGTGACCAGGGATGGAACTTTGAGGCAGAGGTGTTTGGTGAGGTCTGTAAGCAGCTGAGCATTGTAAAGACCTGCACAACCCTCTTCACCCCCCCAGATCTCCGCATAGTGCACACCAGCCGTGCTTATGTTTGGGATGGAGCTGCACATACTGACTTGCTGTTCAAGCCACCGAGGTACCGAAGGAACCAGGTATGGAATACCTGTGTTGCCTCTCGGCGCATCTGACATGGTATATCTGATGTGGATAAAGTTTCTTATAAATTAGGGACAATAAGAGTTTAACAACAATAGAACATTTATAACAAAATACTGGGATAAAAGTTATGTGAATGTGGTCTTTCTCAAAAAAAATATATTATTGTACTGTAACTCACCCTTCACAAGTATTGTTTTTTAATATAAAAAAAACACAACCATTGCCATAACAGTCGACCTGATACGCAATGTTTACTAAATGACTAATAGGCAGGTAATGTATTCACTTCCTGGATGATTTACGTCCTGGACGGGACAGTGTGAGATTTCGTCACACTAATCAGAATGGTGCACAATTAAAAATTTATGAATAATTTCTGGAATTTTCCATTTAATATTTTCAGACTAAACGTAAACAAAACTACGGATAAGGGGGACCCACTTTGAACGACCTCAAAAAATTAAGACCTAGTAAACTTAAATTTAAGACTTTTCAAGGTCTTAATTGGTTCAACTCCAATTATTACTGCCCGACAGACACACGGTAAATACTGACTGAAATACAACACGTTGTATAAAACTTTTTTTTTTTTTAATCTTATCATCAATATAACGACTTTTTTAATGGAAGGAATTAACACATACAGCTAAAAATGAGAAGTGATGTATAGGTTTAGCGGTTTGAGTGAAATCTACACGACACTGAGACTTCCTTCTCCATGCAAGTTTCCCAGAGTGACGGCCAGGAAAGGTCAGGTCTCAGCGCGCTGCCTGTTGTGCGCCACCTTGGTGGGTCAAGTACAGAATATATAGAACAGCCATCACTTTTAAATCATTTGTAACAAATGGAATAACTAGTTAGAAAAACATCGGGCAGAAATAATATGTTTACAATGCATTATATGTGCATTTCTGAATAATAAATTCATATTCCAGGGCATCCCTACTAGCCAGACAAGTACAGTGGTACCTCAGTTCTTGAACTCATTATAACTCGAATTTCTTAAAAGTCGAACCAACCAGTTCGAAATTTTTTTTTTTTTACCTAGAACTCGATCTGAATCTCAGAAGTCAAACCGTGAACGCTGACCTAAGATAACTTGTACACACGGGGAAATGAGTCACACAGCACGTCTCTCAGCGGAAACATAGGGTAATGCTTCAGTCTCAGCCTCGCATTGGCTGTGATAGCATCGTGCATGTTTACACTAGCTGAATACATATATTTAGACAGTAAAAATACATTTAGACAACAATGGACAATAACAGTAATTATTATTATATAATAAAATACATTTAAAAATAAAGATTTCTTATTCATTATTTTAATATTAATAATAAACCATTAGTACGTTTAATTATAATAATATGGTTGTGCAGAGACAAAGGCGCAGACGTCAGGTTTTAATTACAGGTAAGGCAGGCAAAACGCAGACGGACAATACAATGACCGGACTGGGGAAACAAACTGAAACGCGGACGAAATACAAGGAACTAATGACAAGAACCATAAACAGCTGATCAAACTGGGACTCCACACGGGTTAACGAGGGGGCATGGCACACGGAAGGAGTGGACGATTGGGGCAGGACACGTTTTTTTTTTTTTAACTTTACACATTGTTTGGATACATTCATTTTCTTACTTTACAAGTTACTGTTTTGATAAATGTGCTTAGATTTGTTTAGTACAGTATATGCTCTTCTTGTTTTATCCCGTTTATTTTGTGTTTGAATGCTAAAAAAAAAAACATAGTTTAGGTGTCATTTTTTGGGGCCGGGAACCAATTAATTGGTTTTCCATTATTTCTCATGGGAAAAATTCGATCACAACTCGAACTTTTCAGGATTCGATCCGGAGTCCTGAACGGATTAAATTCTAGTTCTGAGGTACCACTGTAATTTCAAATGTTGTAGTACTCAAGACCAGTTTTTGAAGGTCTCGATCTTGCCTTTGAATCAGTCGTATTTGTATTCGTTCTTGTCATGGGCTCCGGATTTTATTTCGAGACCAGCCGAGACCACAACTCTGAGAATATTCTTATTAATGAGCCATTTACTGTTGGATTGGATAACTTCTCACTTAGAACATAAGAACATAAGAACTATACAAACGAGAGGAGGCCATTCGGCCCATCGAGCTCGCTTGGGGAGAACTTAAATAATAGCTCAGAGTTGTTAAAATCTTATCTAGCTCTGATTTAAAGGAGACCTGGATCATGTCCCCCCTCAGTCTCCTTTGCTTGAGGCTGAACAGATTTAGCTCAACTAACCTTTCTTCGTATGACATTCCTCTAAGACCAGGAATCATTCTTGTGGCCCTACGCTGCACCTTTTCTAAGGCCGCAATGTCCTTTTTAAGATATGGTGACCAAACCTGCACACAATATTCTAGGTGAGGTCTCACCAAGGAATTGTATAATCTTAGCATTACCTCCCTTGACTTAAACTCCACACACCTGGAGATATACCCCAACATCCATTGGCCTTTTTTATTGCTTCCCCGCACTGGCGAGAATGAGACATGGAAGCATCAACATACACACCAAGGTCTTTCTCATAATCAGCTACCTTTATTTCAGTAGGTCCCATAAAATACCTGTACTTTATATTTCTGCTCCCTACATGGAGTAATTTGTCTATGTTAAATTTCATCTGCCAGGTATCGGCCCAGTCACTAATTAAATCAAGATCCCGCTGTAGCTGCTGAGCCGCTAGTTCAGAATCTGCTACACCACCCACCTTGGTGTCATCAAAGTCTTCAAGTGCAACCAATGACTTTACTGCCGACCCAGTTACCCGCTCCTTCACACACGCAGTCGTGGTTGTCTGGGAAAGATGTCAACACAATCGGCTATTATCAAATGTGGCTACATATACCACAAAGTGTTTACCCTACCATTCTATTAGGGTGGTGCTTCAAGTTAATTTTATTTTCTATATAGCGCCAGATCAGAACAGAAGTCATTTAAGGTTACCTTTCCTATAGAACAGGTCTATACCTTGTCCTTTTATTAAACTAAATAGCCTTATGTTATTTATCTAATTTACAGTTCATCACTGTAGTATGCGCACACAACCGGACAGGTTTTAAAACGAAATTTGCCGCCTGTCGTTCACAGGTTTTTCCTCACCAATCGTCTTATTTGCGGCGTTCAGTCACTAAAGTCTATGACGTTTCACGAGATCGCAAGCCGGCACATTTTTAGCGTAAAATGCGGAAAAGGCTTTTTTTTTCCCAATAAATGTTTATTTTGTTTGTCTGTAATAAATGCAGACACATTCGCTCGCGTGCTCTCTCCCCCCGTCACGTATGTGTATCAACATTAAATAACATTAGAGAGTTATTTAATAATATTCTTAGTAGCAGCAGCGGTAGTCTGTGCTTTTACATTAAAAACTGGAGTACTGAATACACTATGTAAAGCACCATGATTTGGACTAAATTAGAAATGTTTAGAAAGTTTCCAAAAACCTTGCAGAGCTGCACGTTTAGGTTCAAGTGCTGCATTTATTTATTTTCATTTTACTTGGAAAAAAATCAACCATTGATGTTCATCTTATTTAAAATATTTCAATTATTATATTATGTAGGCTCAGGGGCGTTGCTAGAGATTTTGGGCCCCATGAAAGCATATCATATTAGGCCCCCCAGTCCAAACCAATCCAGTTATTTTCCTAATTTTTTAGGGCCCCTGTCACTCAGGGGCCCTTGGAATCGTCCTAGCTTTCCTCCCCCTTACGGCGCCCCTGTGTAGGCTACATTTACTAATCTTCAGTCCCTGCCGTGGCCCTTTAGAGTCTTCGTCTTGTCTCGGTCTGGACACACTCAGGTCTCAGTCAGGACTTGGTCTCGGTTTAGGTTGTCTTGACTACAACTCTAGTACTATCTGGACAAATAGTATATTGATTGCACTTCCCTTTTATTCTCAGCACTTGGCAGCATCTCCCAATGTCCATTTTGTTAGATCAGCAGTCATTAACTTGAAAAGATTATATATGTTTTATTTACTGTGCTTCTGTGCTGTATCTCACCTTTGGAAAAAAAACAGCCCAGCATTTGTGACTATGTTTTGAGGAAGATCTGCACACCACAGGAAGCAGCTGTTCTCACTCATGGTATCATAAATATGCTGGTAACAGACATGAGGCCATTATCAATGGTGGAGGATGAAGGATTCAGAAAAATGATAAATACCTTCAACCCTGGTTATACTCTTCCCTCAAGGACGTATATCACCAGCCTGATGGAGAAGAAATACCAGAAGACATTCCAGGCTGAGTAATCGAAAAAATAATCGACAGATTAATCGATTATCAAAATAATCATTAGTTGCAGCCCTACATAAGACACAAGATTGCTGAAATCTGCCTCCAGATTTGAAGATAAAATCTTTCAAAATATATTTGTAGATAAAGGTGATGTAATTGCATCACCTATGCAAAAACAAGAAACAAAGTCACTTATTTAACAAAAGAAATTCACTAAGATGCCAGTTCCTACTGAGGAAAAAGTTAGGACACCCTACAGCTAGTATGTCCTCCTTGGTTGAAATAACCAATTTTTCCGAAACCATATATCAATCTCTGAACTCGCTGGCAGAAAGTTTTTCCCACTCTCCAATGCATAATTCTTTAAGCTGTGTGATGTTTGAAAGATGTCTCGTGTGCACGGCCCATTTCAAATCACCCCACAGCATCGCAGTAAGATTCAGATCCGGGTTTTGACTTGGCTATTCCAGAACTCTCTATTTCTTTCTTCTAAGCCATTTCTTGGTAAATTTACTGGAATGTTTTGGTCATTGTCATATTGCATGGTCCACCCCCACTTCAGTTTCAACTTCTGGACAGATGATCTCACATTGTCCTCGAGCACCCTCTGATACAATGAAGAATTCATAGTGGATTATATGATGGTTATGCCAGGTCTTGCTGCAGCAAAGCAGCCTCAAACCATGACATTTCCACCCCTATGCTTCACAGCTGGTATGAGGATCTTCTGTTCAAAATCAGCCTTTGGTTTACACCAAACATGTCTTCTGTTACTATATCCAAAATATGTCACAACATATTTTTGGGCTGAAACCAAGACGATTTTTCTGAATGCATATTCTGACAGGTGTGATAGTTTGATGAACATAGTAAATGATGTCATTTAATAATTTAAAGCAGTTTTAAACTTCTTCTCTTACATTTGTTGACTGATGTTAAGATAACTTACGCCTATAATTCTGTGTGAGTTTCACGCTACTCGTGCAATCGTTACGGTTAAACAGCTATCGCTCCGGCCCACTCAGATTTAGTCCAGGCCCAACCACCAGCCACCTTTCTGTATCCGCCCCAGTTTCTCCAGATTTCCTGCAGTTGTTTGCTCTGAGTCTGCATCTCTGATCACCGACGTTTCTGTGTTGCAACGGTTTACTACATTTTGAAAGATCCGACCACAGCAAAACAAAAACTCACACATTCATGAATGTATTAAATAAGTAGAGTAACAATTAAACGCCTGAAATATCGCGAGACTCTCTATCCACGGCCGTGAGCTTCAGTACCATTCGTTTACATTACCTGGTGATGCAGCTCGCTGGACGAGCCTTCTAACCCCGGTTACTGAGCGATGCTGGTAATTAGTGAATCCCATTTAAGTCTCACATTAACACTCACGGGGATTCGCAACTGGGTTTGAAGGAACCAACCATTCGGCATAACAATTAGTTAATGATCATCATTAAATAATAATTAATTAAAATTTAATTTCAATACATATTGGTGGAGATATTAAAATTTACCTGAGCTAAATATTACAACACTGTCTATGTCTTAGACCTTAGGCATGAAGAGAATTGTGTGACATGCTGCCTGCTAAGTATGCAAGATGTGTGAGCTTATCGTCCAAGGGCTGAGTCAAGCCGCGAGGTGTTTGCGTCACCTACAGAGGAAGTTAGCAAAAATAGAGACAAATAAGGAACTTCTGGTTAACTTTCACTTCTACTGACATTAGTAATAAGTGGGTGAGGT